GCAAGATGTCCAGAAGAAAGATGCATGTAAAATTGATTGAGCTTGTGCTTGAGAAAAACCTGGCAAAACGTTTAGAAGAAAAATGCATGTAAAATTGATTGAGCTTGGGTTTGAGAAAGGCCTGGCAAAACGTTCTGAATTGAGTTTGGGTTTGAGAAAGGTCTGGCAAGATGTCTAGAAAAATATGCATGTGAGCTAGGGCTTGAGAAAGGTCTGGCAAAATATCCAGAACGAAATGCGTGTAAAATTGGTTGAGCATGAGATTAAGAAAAAGGTGGCAAGGAGCATGGATTTCATGGGTTGAAGAGACGATTAGAAGAGGCACTTAGGGTGACAGATGTCGGAAAGGGGACATGGTCAGCACGAGACAGAAGGCAGATCATTCGAGGGCATTAGGGATGACAAGGCTTGGGGGAGAAGCAAGGGCTTCAAGAGGCGGGAAACGAAAGGTTGGATGTATTAAGGGTGATGAATAAGACGAAAGACTGGATGTACTAAGGGTGATGAATGACACAAAATATTGGATGTACTGAGGGTGACGAATAATACGAAAGGCTGGATGTACTAAAGGTGATGAATGAGACGAAAGACTTGATGTACTAAAGGTGATGAATCAGACGAAAGGCTTGATATACTAAGGGTGATGAATGAGATGTAAGAAGCTTGAAGGAATACCTGAAAGAGAACTCGACCCCCCACGCAACCTTTTTCATCCCAAGGAGCGGAGACTAGAAGAGACCCCGAAAAAGAAACAATAAACGACAAAAAAAAACCCTGACAAACTAACTACCTATTACATTTCACCCCCTCTCCTCTGTCTATCTGTCCATAGACTCCATACCTTTCTACAGATAAAAGACTGGTGTGCGATGAGGATATCGCGAATGAGTGAGGGGAATGTATCGGGATCTGTGGATGCCGAATGACGTCCCGACACTTGAGAGCCGGTATATAACCAAGTTGTGCACCAGAGAGAAATCCGGAGAAAGGAGACAAAGAGAGAGAAAAGACAAAAGATTAGGATGAGACCGCAGGGTGAAAGACCCGACAATGGCAAGCAAGTGAGTGACAGGACATGGGCACATAGGGGCATAGCATGGGGCCAGGAGGGCCATTCGAATTCGGCATGGCAAGGACCCGAGAGACCATGAACTGAGCAAGTGGGGCGCGACATATGACAAGAGAATAGTGAAGCCGAAAGGTGGACAACCCTGGTGGCCGCGGAACACTAGAAAGTACGGGCCACAACAGGGTGCCAAGGTCATACGGGAAGGTGGCCTTGACGACCGGTGGCCATGAACTGAGCAAGTGTCGGGGACCCTTGGCGGGTCAAAGTGTCGGGGACCACCGACGAGATAAAGTGTCGGGGACCACCGACGGGACAAAGTGTTGGGGACCACTAGGCGGGACAAGTACCAAGCAAGGACTAGCATGGGACAAGTGGCGGGGACATGAGAAGGTCTAAAGAGGAACTGCTGAGCGGCATGAGGGAAAAATAATTAAAGCAAGATGCACCATCAAGATCGAGATCTTAACGGCCAAGAATATTGGCACCACTAGTGCAAGTGCTACTGGGAGCAAACAGGGAGACCAAAAGGAAAAGAAAAAGAAAAGAAACATGAAGGAGGAGACATGGGAGCAATCCGAAAAATCTCGGATCAGCCTCCCTTAAGAAAATGGAGTAAAAAAAGACTCCTTGTGAAAAATAGGTCTCCACGAGAAAATCGGATTCTAAGGGGTCACCGTGTGGGAGAAATAGAGGTAAAGGGAGGTTCCCATGGGCATGAGGGAACCACAATTGTAGTCCGAGATGTAATGGATTGCACCATGGGCATAGGGAGGGCCAAAACTAAGAGGAAGGGCCTAGAAAAAGCTTTAACAACCACTTGACACTTGGCATGCTAAGAAAAAAAAGAAAAGAAAAGAAAAATGTGAGAAAATAAGACAAAAAGAGTGAGAGGGAATGAGTGAGTTGGCCGTTAGTAGGGACTGCCACAAGTAGGGAGTGACAGGTGCCTACTGTCCAAGAAAGGAGGAAAAAAAAAAAAAAAAAAAAAAAAAAAAAAAAAAAAAGTCTCAACGATCGAAAACGATCACTTGGTGAGATGCCCCCGTGACCAAATACATTCTGGAATATAGCGGTTGCAAAGGGCATTGATTTTCTCTTGATTTTGCAGAGAAAAAAAATAAAATTAAGGCCCCATGCAACCGAGATTCAACGGATTGCATGGGGGAAGAGAAACACATATTTTTTGTGCATCCGGAGCCAATATTGAGCCAGGATGCACTTCAAAGTTGGTCGTTTCTTTTTCCTTCAGTTGTGGGTTAGTTGTGGGGCAATGGGGATTGAAAATTAACCCCCATTGCAGTCCGAGTTACAACGGACTGCATGGGGAAGGGAAAACACATGTTTTAACTGCATTCAGAGCCAATATTAAGCCCGGATGGACTTGAAAAATGTGTGTTTCATTTTCTTTTAATTTGGGGCAACTTGTGGGGCTGTGGGACTAGGAAAATGACCACAGTTGCAGTTTGAGAAATAACGGACTATATAAGGATGCATAGGCCAAGGGAAAAATGAGCCATGACAAACCCAAAACGCTAGAAAAGAGTGACTCCGGCATGAGGCAAATAGAGACGGTAAACGACAACCGTGAGATGAGGATCTCGCGACCAAGAATAATCGGCGGATATGGGGCACTTGAGGAGGGGATATTGGAACTAACAAGGACAAGGAAGTCCCAAAATAAACAATGAGACGTCATCCAGGATGATGTCGTGGACTGAATGAGCCCAAATAAAATAGTTGAAAAATGAGACATGCACCGGAGAGACTCTCGGCGGGACAAAAAAATGAAACTAGTACGGGGAGAGTGGAGGGGACTTGAGATGTCCCAAGGAAACCACGAGACAACATGAGGAATGGTCACGCAAAGCAAACATGCACCGTCGAGATCAGGATCGAGACGGTGAAAAATATAGCACTAGTGGGATCAACTGGGCGAGTCGCGAGAGAAAATAAAGCAAAACAATGATGATGGAAGGGTTGCCCAGCAGTCCGAGATATCTCGGACTAGCTAGACATGTGAAGATAGAGCTGCAAGGGGCTCTACTAAGAAAAAAGGTTGTCAAAAGAAAATCGGAGCAAGGAGGGCTCAAAATTGAAACTAACGGCGACAAAATGGAGTCCCCCATGAGCATGGGGGTGCCATTATTGTAATTCGAGATATAACGGTTAACTGTTGAGTCTGAATCTGGCCATAGATGAGGATTCATGGCCTAGAAAAAGACTCAACGACCACTTGACACTTGTCACGTTAGAACTAAAAGAAAATAAAAGAAAAATGAGAGAAAATGAAAGGAGAATGAGACAAAGGAGGAAGAAAGAGCGGAGGAGAATGTGCCGACCTATTGGGATTGATACAGTAGGGACTGGCACGTCCCTACTGTGACGTGTTCCATCTTGATTTAGTGGAGGGCAATCCAGATTGCAGAGATATAACCCTTGGGGCAATATACAAAATCAGAATTAAAATGGAAAAATTGAGAAAAAATGCAAAATGAAAATGACCGGTTTTCTTTTGGGAAATGAATATGAGATTTAAATCCATGGAGGAGGAAATATGGCCGTTTTTTATGAGGTCAACTCAAACCACCAACTCTGGAATGAGTTGGCAGCCCAAAATGGAAAGAAACAAAAGAAAAATAAATATATATATAGATACATTTGACCCAAACGGAGGACCAAATGCTCAAAAAATTGAAAATATGTGCTTTGGGGCTCAAATTTGAAGCAAGGATCACCAAGGGGTAGCTCAAAATATTGCTGGCCTTGGATCTCAGCCAGATCCAAGGTTGAAATAGCCTGGGTTGTTTATCAATTCCGGCCGGATTAAGTGACCGGAATATCCGGCCGCATTATCCGGCCCCCTGTTTATCCGGAATTCCGGATAAACCGAAAAATGTCCGGAAAAAAAAGGTTTTTTTTTTTTTTTTTTTTTTTTTTTCGTGCTGAACTCGCACTTCAACATGTTCAAATATGACAGTTTTTTTGCGAAAATCACATTGGACTCCCATTCGACTGTCCATTGAGCAGTTTGAACTTCATTCAGTGTTTGTGTGGTTGTGTGTTATTCATGATTTGGCCTCCAAGGCGATGAACAAACTGGGGTGCTGTGGGTGGGCGTCAGGCGGTGGTGGGAAACACACACACACACACACACACACACACACACACACACACACACACACACTCACACACACACACACACACACACAATCACACATGCATATAATAACTTCACCAGACCATCGTCAATCAACACACCAGAAGCATAATCGAATCACCAATATGAACAAGGCAGATCACATGATGCACACTGTGACTATGTCAACAACGAAAGACGTATGAATGCACAGGTGGTGCGTGTGTGTCTGTCTGTCTAATTTTAAAACCTCACCCGCATCTCTCTCTATATATATCTATCTATCTATCTATCTATCTATTTATCTATCTATCTATCTATCTTTGTCTCTCTCTCTGTCTCTCTCTCTCGTCCTCCTCTCTCTCTCTCTCTCTCTCTCTCTCTCTCTCTCTCTCTCTCTCTCAAAAATACATCAGCACCCATCAACCAGTGTATCGTCCTCTGCCATGGCATCATCATCATCATGCCCTTCGTCTTCATCATCGTCATCGTCGCCATTATCACATGAGGCCTATGGTGTTGCCTCATACTCGCTCTGAGACCCGTCACTGTTGGCTCGCTCATCAGTGTCATCTTTATCCTCAACATCGGCATGCGTCCTCTTCCCCACAACAGCACGAGATCGAGTCCTCACTCTGTCCACGGATATGGGTGATTGCGAACCACCACCGATGGCACTCAATGATCCCAACAGCCTCTCCGTCGCTCCAGCGACACCCTGCCTCTCTCTACCCCTGCGAGATCGACCCCCTGGGGGGGCGCCCGCGTGGTCTGCCTCGCCCTGGAGGTCTCTGTGCTCGTGAATGCTCTACCGCACATGTATCAACAGTTTTCCTCTTCTTCCCTCTTGTCGCAGTGTTGTCAACAATGACCGATGACACTCGGGCGGGGAGTGGAGGAATCGGAGATAAATTGACCGATCCCCTGCGCACAGGCTGTGAATGACCCCGAGCAAGTGGAGGCATCGACGAACCACCACTGCCATCGTGTGAACGTACAATTACACTGCTGTTGGATTATGATAATCGTCCGACTGTAGCCGTGGCCACATGAGAAGATGAGTGGAAAGGGATAGCCAATCCGGGTCCTCGCACCACAACATATCGGTGCAAGACGGGCAGCGGAGGAGCTGTATAGAATGACGTGGGTCGAAGCGTGCCGGAAGACGCCGCAGTGGCAAGGCTCTCTCCAATCATTGTCGTCAACGTTCTATGTGCCTCTATGCTCTCAAATATGGGAGGGGGAACTGCCGATGCGGGAGCGACGTGCTCGGCTATGGGAGGGGGCTGTACTGAAGTTTGCACCTCTCTCACTGTGTCTGGCTCACTGCCCTGTTGGGCCATAACATCTTGCCCCGCTGTAGACCGTGGGTGTGCGGCAGTTGCGTTTGTACCTGTCTCCGTGTCGCACAGGTGATCGGGCTGACGTCCTCTCACACCCTCCCCGACAACTAGTGTCATCTCCGAGATGGTGGGTGCAGGGGAGGCATGCTCGGTCTGACCTATCCCCATGTCCTCTGAAATGAGACAAGGCTGCTCATGGGTCATGGCACCCTCCTCCTGCTCGTCCATGTCAGAAGTTGTCTCCTGCTTGTCAACACCAGGACACACCTCCTCCCTGTCATGAGATGCCTCCTTCTCCCCAACATCGGGACACGGCTCCTCTGCTACACTCTGTAGGAGAGGTCCCTCTAAAGGTCGCCTGGCTGCCCCATCATCGAGAGGCATGCCAAACAACGGAGTGCTGGGGGGGGTACTAACATATGAGGCGTCCGTGTCGACCCTGCGCCCGTGGCTGTGACACTTCAATCTGCCTCGCCGTCAGAAACAATAGAATGAAAGCTTGTGTCCACATAATGACCCTCATCAACCTGTCTGCTGCCCCCCTCCGGCCTGCGACACTCCTCAATATCCTTCATGATATGAAGGGTGTGTCTGGAGCCATGCAGGAGCCCTTCCAGGTCCTCCACAACATCAAGGCCTCCCCACCTATCCCACACACGAGACACTAGCGGGTCATCGTGCACCTTCTCCATCCCCTTCCCCACGGCTGCAATCTCCTCAATCATGTCCTTCCCTGCCCATACATCATCCGCATCGTAAATGACATCCTCATCCTCCACATCGTAATCATCTTGCGCCTGCAACAGGCGCGCACTGGCACGATCACCCCCCTCCTTGCGCCGGGTGCGCATGTCAGCCTCCACCTCCTCAGGAATCGACATGCGCTCGGCGTACACCTCCTCTGAAGGATCGCCTACCGCTGGCTTTGGCGGCTCCTCCACCATATCCGCCCACACATCCGCATACCCCTTCCGGGTAGTCGACCGTGCTCTCAAAAGCTGCTTGTTCCAAAGAATGAACACGAGTTTTCGCAGACTATCACTGGAGAGTCTGTTGCGCCTCTTCGTGTGGATTGAGTCATATGTGGCCCAATTCCTCTCACATGGAGAGGCAGTGGACCACATGGCAAGCACCTTGATGCCGACTTCCTGCAGCCGCGGGAAGTCACCACCATGCAAGTACCACCACCAGGCGGGGTGCACCCCGTGCTTCGCCTGTGCGATCGCAACGGGGTTTGTCCACCATTTGGGCCTAGGGTCCGCGTGGGGATCATCATGGTGGATTAAGTACAAGTCGTACCACATCGTAGTATGCTCCTCTGACCCCGCTCCACCGTCCGAGTATGTTCCCAAATGGTGCAGTGCGCTCTGCACCAATGCACTGTCAGTGTCAGCGAGGAGACTCACATCACGCCGTCGTGGGTCAACAAGGTATGCGAGCGCATGCGCCGGCCGGCGCATCATGACGCAACGGTAGCCAACCCTCTCCATAATCTCAGTCTCGTCTGCCTCTGGTAGGCCCATGTCGTGCACACTCGCCTCGATACTCTCGACAAGCGCCCAAAGGGTGGTGGGGGAGGAACCGTCTGTGTCCATGGAACGCAACAGGCTATAAGCTTGCCTCATGACGTCCTGCACGCGGTGTGCACTATCCCAAAATGACGCCGATAACACAAGTTGTCGAACAGGGCGATCATCCTGCCCTGCCTTGCCCCTCCAGAGGGTGCTCCGCCATCTCTTACTACCCACGACCATCCGCAATATCCTCTCCTGATCGGTGAGTCGCTCCACCATCTGATACGCTGACCCGAATCGTGTGTCACATAGTCGGATCAGCTCCAGCTGCCCCTGCTCCTTGAAGGACCGATGATACGAGAGAGCCTTGTGAATGTTCTTGAAGAACATCATAACCTTGTGTGTGTTCTTCAAGATTGGGCAAACCCACGAGAAACATGTGATGTCACGCAGGAGGAGACTCAAGCAATGGGCTGCACAGGGGAGCCAAGGGATCCGGGAAATGTCTTTGTCCGCATGGTCTTGCAACCATTGTGCAGCCACCTTTTTCGCATAAGCGTTGTCAGTGCAATAAGCATTGACACGCGTGACGTTGATATCGCGGATGACCTCCTCCCACAACTCTGCAAGGGTCAGTCCAGTCTTTTCTCTCTCCGACATGTCAACGGTGGTGATCAAAACGGGCCCGTCCTTGCCTGCCGCGACGAAGTTGACGATAGGCTTGTATGACCTTGTCGTTGCTCCGTCCGTCATCATCGTACACCCCGTCAACTTCCACTTTGCCTTCTTCGGAGTGACCCTCTCTGCTATCTCGTGATAAATCTCGTCGAGGAGGCGCGTGCGCATGTAAGTGTATGAGGGGAGGACCAAAGAAGGCCCAATCGTGACCCTCATCAATGATACCATGAAGTCATGCAGCTCTTGAGTAGTCTCAAGTTGTATGAATGTGAATGGCACCCGAGCCCTGTACAAGGCTCTAGCCCACAACCTCTCATAATGCTGCAGACGACCTCCCCTTGCCCAACCGTCCAATCTCGTCTGCAGCATACGACGATCGTGGGGCACAACAAAACCTGATGGTGCACGTTTGCCCTCTGTCCTGAGCCATGACAAGTTGGCTTTTTGCCTTGAAGATTGTTGTACAATGTTCTGCACTTGAGTCGACCTCCGCTCTTCCTCAAGGACAAGCACCCTCTCTCTGAGGATAGACAGTTTGTCGTCCACAGGCCCACCATCGACCCCTTCTTCATCCATCGTAATGTTCTGCGTCCCTTGGGCAATTGACTGCCGTCCACGGCCACCAGCCCCGTCATGCATCGGCATATCTGTCATTGTGGCAGCTGCCTCCTCGGCCCTTTGCAGGTCCTCCATCTCCAACTCCTCCTCGTGGACCTCGAGATGCCTGGCTGCCATTGCCCTCCCCACAGGTTCACTAATGGTAACCCCGTCCCTCATCAGCTTGTACAGGATCTCTCTCGTACGGAATCTGCAATGTGCAGACGGGTGGGTGAAGTGGTCAATAGCCTTTGTCCACGCACAGGGAAAACGTTGTTGCACAACGTGCAACATAGCTTGTATTGCCTCTTCCCCCGCACTCCCACCTCCTGCCCTTGACGAACCCATTCCCGCACAGCGTGCTTGCTTTGTAACAATCGTTGTCGAGCCTCATCGGCCTCTTGAAAGGGCACGTCGCCATCCGGGAGTTGGGTGAATCTCCCTCGCGATCCACGCTGGGACATTACTCTCTCTCTCTCTCTCTCTCTCTCTCTCTCTCTCTCTCTCTCTCTCTCTCTCTCTCTCTCTCTCTCTCTCTAACTATGTTCGTATGGAGCACTATCAACATTCGAAGTGAAACGAGCATCCATCACCTGCTGAGATTGAAAAAACAACATCCACATTGGGTTGGTTGTTTGCTAGGATGATTGAGCGATAAATTAATTGATTGGTTGAATGATTGGCAAGTTGGTTGGATGGTTGCTTGCTTGCTTGATTGATTGATTGGTGTACTTTTGTTTTTGTTCTTTGACTAGCCGATCAATGTAGAAAAACGAGAAACAGAACGAGAAGGAGGATGAGGAGGGGCAGCCGGTTGCAAAACAGACTCCTCCTCATCATCCGTCCTCGTTCTCCTCCCCCTTCGCCTCCTCCTCCTTCCTCATCGTCATCCTTCCTCCTCCTTCTCCGCCTCCTCGTCATCCTTCCTCCTCGTCATGTTCCTCCTCCACCTCCTCCTCCTCCTCCTCCTCGTCCTCCTCGCCGACCCTCTTTCCTCTTCCTCCTCCAATCGCCTCCTCCTCCTTCTCTCCTCCTCCTCCTCCTCCTCCTCCTCCTCCTCCTCCTCGGCCCTTTCCTCCTTCTCGCAGTCCAACCTATCACGCGTTCGGCCCCATACCGCCCGGATTAACTTTCTGTTTTTTTTTTCCGTCAATCGATTGATGAAAAAAAAAATAAATTGAAAAGCACCATCGGATCAATCAATCAATCAATCAATCAATCAATCAATCAATCAATCAATCAATCCGTCGAATCAATCAATCCATCAATCCATCAATCCATCCAATCAATCAATCAATCAATCAATCAATCAATCAATCAATCAATCAATCAATCAATCAATCAATCAATCAATCAATCTAATCAATCAATCAATCAATCAATCAATCGA